TGTGTGCGTGTGTGTGCGTGTGTGTGCGTGTGTGTGCGTGTGTGTGCGTGTGTGTGCGTGTGTGTGCGTGTGTGTGCGTGTGTGTGCTGTGTGTGCGTGTGTGTGCGTGTGTGTGCGTGTGTGTGCGTGTGTGTGTGCGTGTGTGTGCGTGTGTGTGCGTGTGTGTGCGTGTGTGTGCGTGTGTCTGCGTGTGTCTGCGTGTGTGTGCGTGTGTCTGCGTGTGTGTGCGTGTGTGTGCGTGTGTGTGCGTGTGTGTGCGTGTGTGTGCGTGTCTGTGCGTGTGTGTGCGTGTGTGTGCGTGTGTGTGCGTGTGTGTGCGTGTGTGTGCGTGTGTGTGCATGTGTGTGCGTGTGTGTGCGTGTGTGTGTCCGGCGGCGAGCGAGGGGGAAAAGTGAGAATGAGCTGGCCTTCTCAGAAGGCGGCGTGGCTTCTCGGCAGCCCCCGCGCCTCCGCCGAAGTTCTCCCCTGTCTTCGGGGAAGGCTTCGAGCACGTCTCGGAAGGCCCGAGGCCTTCCGAGCCCTCTGAGGAGACCTTCCCCCTCTCACCTCCCGCCCCGGCGCGCCGCCGGCCAGCCTCCCCGAGAGTGTGCGTGTCTGCGCACGCAGCCCCTGATGGGCATGTTTTCCACCACCACCACCAGAAGTTGGAGGGGGAAGGAGGTGGAGGAGGAGGAGGACGAAGAGGAGGACCAGGAGCAGGAGCAGGAGGAGGAGGAGGAGGAGGAAGAGGAGGAGGAGGAAGAGGAGGAGGAGGAGGAGAAGGAGGTGGAGGAGGAGGAGGACGAAGAGGAGGAGGAGGACCCCCTCTCCTCCTACTTCTGGTGATGGCGGTGGAAGCAAGCCCGCCGGTCCCTTCTCCTCACCACGGCCGCTGACCCGACGCCGCGCGGCGACCAGATCCTGGGCGGCGCGCCGCGGCCGCAGGCGGAGGTCGCCGGCTTCGCGAGCGGCAGCCTCGTGAGCGGCAAGGCCCCTCTGGGCGGGTGCGCGTGCGCGCGCGCCGAGTTGTTCCCAGGGCGCTGGGCGCTGGCAGCGTCCGCAGGGGTTTCCCACAGATGTCCATTCCTCCTCCTCCTCCTCCTCTTCCTCCTCCTCCGAATGCCCGAGTGCCCGAACAGATCTACAGTCGACGCGCCTACAGTAAGGGCGCGCGGCTTCAGCCACGGTGCCCTCGTGTCCTTGCCTCTGCGGCCCGTCCTTTGCCGTTTTCACCGGTCGCCCGCCGCCCATGAAGTCCCACATTCGGCCTCCAAGGGTCTTGCGTCCTTACCACCCGTCCTTAACTCAGGAGGGAAAGAAACACACAGACACAATTAATCGTCGATTCCCCCGAAAATATAGGAAAATATGGGAAATGGGGGGGAAGACAAAAACCCAGAACATATGAAACAAATATGGGGAGTATCTTTACTTGTGTGTATTTATTTGTGTGTCCTGGGGCCCCTTCATGAACACACGATCTGGCAGTAAATATCCGCCGCCTGCCGAGGTCCCCGACAATCGATCCCGCAGGCGGTGGTGATGGATAAATGCCAACCTCGCAGAGTTGCCAGCACAGCGAGCTCGTTCTCGGGCGGTTGCTTGCTCTCCCGGAGGTTCTCCAGCTCGTCGGAGGAGAAGGACGGTGCATTGACCACACCCTCGGACGAAAGCGGGGGATTTGAGGAGAGAGATGCTGCAGGTTTTCGGGTCTCCGTTTGTTCTCGGCTGTGTGCAGCCTCGGCATGCTTTTCCGCAGCAACACCTTACCGAGAGCGTTCCAGTTGTGCCCAGATCGTTCAGGCGGGCCACCGAAGACCCGAGTTCTGAGCCGAAAGCCCGGTCGGCTCGACTGCTGCACCGAGACTCGGGGGCGGAAAAGAGGGGGGTGATGATTAGGGGGGGGGATATCATGGCGTGGGCCATGATATTTCCCCAGATCTCATGGCGCCTCTTCTTATTTCATTACGTCCCTGGCCCCCCCGCTGGGCCGCGCACATGCCGCCGGTCATGATTTGCACCCCCCCCTCTTGGACACCCCCCTCTTGGCCGCTCCCGAGGTAGGTTCGTGTCGTGTCAATGCGACGGCTACCCTTGCGCGGACGCTCAAGCTTGAACGCCTCCAGAGGCTTATCGGAATCGGCCGACATCGAAGGAGCTGCGCTGTCGCGAGGCGATCGCTCAAGGTTGCACGATCCCCTGCGGTGCCAGACCCGGCACCAGGCACTTCGGCAGCGCGCAGGGAGCTGACAGGAAGAAGCCCCGCATTAGTTAAGGTGCCCGTTGACCGAGTAATTACCCATCACGGTGGCGTTGAGCGTCTGTCAGGACGTCCGCGGATCAGCCGGTCCAGTGCGTGGCAGTCGGCTGCATTCGTCGCCATGGTGGAAGCGGGTCCTGAAGGAAACGGGTCCTGAGGTTTTTTGCCGTTTTCGGTCTCTCAGGGGTCCCTCCACGGGCCCGCGGACTGTCAGAAGACGACCCAGGAGGAAGAACTCGTCCTGGGGGCAGGCCCCAGGGTCCAGGACCTTGGTGGGCCCCCGAAACGGCAGGGCCGTTCTTTTTCACCGTTTTCGAAAAAGTGTCTCTTCAAAAGGGGAACAGTAAAATAACAGCAATCTGAAACGGCGAAAGAATGGCTCCGGGATTGGAGCCGGGGTCCGGCGCAGATGCAAGAGATCCGCGCGGAGCGCCGAACGTTTATGTTTAGGGCGCCTTTAAGTCGGGCGCGTCTCTCTATAGGAGGAATATTCAAAAATAAGGCAAAATAGTCTGGGGACGATGTCTCTGCTACTTTTTGGTTTGTTTCTGAGCAATATTTGTCTATGACGTATATTTCGTTCAAAATCCGCCTGTAGGAGGACATGCCCGACCTAAGATGAACGTTGTCCCCTGGAGGGGGCTGCCTGGAAGGGGCCTCTCTGAGCAGCCTGCCAAGCCTTATGCGAAGCCACACGTGGCTTCTCTCTCCAGGGCACGCGTCCCTCGGGGCCCATTTCTCAGGAGGGGGAAAAACACACAGAGACAAGTCACCGTCCACTCTTAGGAAAACATGGGAAAACTAGGGGAACTAGGGGGGAAGACGAACACCTAGAAACTATGGAACATGTGGGGTATCCTAGGATATGTGTCTATTTGTTTTGTGTCCTCGGGCCTCTTTACCGTTTACCCCATGCTGAGCTCGGTCGGCTCGGTGCGGTCGGCTGCGGTGCCGCCGCGCCCCTTCGACGGGCGTCGGCTCTAGCTTCGGGCCTGCTGCCAGCCTGGTCGGTGTTCTGTTCTGCTGGTGTGGACGCGGACGGGCGCGCGCGCGCAGTCTCTCGGAGGAGGACAAGGTAGCCATACCCAGACCCTTCCTCGTTCTCCGCTTCGTGGGCCTCCTGGGAGGCCCTCGTCGCCACCGTTGCAGTCGCCTCGAAGTTCGACTGTCCCAAATAGTACAAACATTGCCTGGGGACGTGTTTTTTTTTCTCTCGTGTGTTTGAGCTTTGTGGGCTATCAGTTGAGTATGTTTTGATTTTCGTCCCAACTCCGCCTGTATGAGGACACACCCGACCCAAAAATAAGCCGCGTCGACTCCCGATCGCCCAGTCACCGCCGATCGGGGAGACTGGGTCGCCCCCGCTCGTCGACGAGAAGCCCGTATCCGCATCCACGGCCCCTCGAGGGCCAGAGCCCCTGGGCCGCGGCCCCCACGAAACACGGGGTGCTGCTGATGTCGTCGTGCCCAGCGCGGAGGGCATCCATGTGACCCCGCGTCTGCAGGATCGCGATCCAGAATCCAGGCCGCGAGGTCGAGGAGGAGGAGGAGGAGGAGGAGGAGGAGGAGGAGCGACACGAGGGATCGGACATGCACGCGTGCGCCGCTCGCGAGATCGCCCATTTCATCGCCGATCGGAGCCTGGGTTGCACCCCCCGTCGTCATGGTTGTGTGCGCAGCGTGGACACTCGGAGGTCTCGGTCCAATCCCCCGGGACCGACGTTCCATCTCGAGTCGACCTCAGAGAACCGCCCCTCGCGAGCCCGTCACGGCGCGAGCATGCAGTCGAGGCTGATTTTAGTCAGGTCGACCTTGCCAGAGCAAGGGCGCCCTTGTCCTGTGCCTCGCGACCGATGCCCTCTGCAGTCCTGTGGCAGTGTGGTCCTCAAAAGGGCCTTGCGCCTCGCGTCCTCTCGCGTAGATCCTCTCCCATCACCCCCCGGCTGTATCTGGGCTGCCCCCACCCTTCTCCTCCTCCTCCTCCTCCTCCGCCTCCGCCTCCGCCTCCACCTCGCCCTCCTCCTTTTCCTCCTCCTCCCTCCTCCTCCTCCCTCCTCCCCCTCGCTCTCCTCCTCCTCCTCCTCCTCCTCCTCCTCCTCCTCCTCCTCCTCCTCCTCCTCCTCCTCCTCCTCCTCCTCCTCCTCCTCCTCCTCCTCCTCCTCCTCCTCTCCTCCTCGAGACGAGGAAGGCGAGGAGGCGCCACGCCCGGCCCGGCGGAAGAGCGGCCGCCCACCCCGGGGCGTTGTCGTCGGCCGCGGGCCACCCGGGGGCGCCCGCCGCCCGCGGAGGCGTTCGGGGTGGCGGTGCCCGAGGTGGACATCGTGGTCAACGCCAACCCGCAGGTCGCGGGGGCCGGAGTTTTTTTTTTTTTTTTTTTTTTTTTTTTTTTTTTTTTTTTTTTTTTTTTTTTTTTTATTAAAAAAAAAAAAAAAAAAAAAAAAAAAAAAAAAAAAAAAAAAAAAAAAAAAAAAAAAAAAAAAAAAAAAAAAAAAAAAAAAAAAAAAAAAAAAAAATGTTTTGCCTCGCGGGCTCGGCGATCGCACGAGGGAGCTATGGAGCGGGGTGCGCGAGGAAGCGAATCGGCACCGACGCGAGAGGCAGCAGGGGGGGCGGCCGGGGTGTCTACAGGAGGAATCTTCAAGAAATTTGTAAAGAAGTAGTCGGGGGGCGACTTTTTGAGTATGAGTTTTTTTTCCGTATGTTTGTTTTTTCGCCCAGAATCCGCTTGTAGCAGGACATGCCCGACCGAAGGGTAGAGAGAGTTCCTCTTGGCGGCCCTCAGGACGGATGAGCTGGACTGGGGGCTGGTGCTGCGGCCCAGGCTCCAGGTGGAGTTTTTGCGAAGGGGCAACCACAGTTGGACAGTACCGCCCTGCCAGGGCGACGTGGTGACGGAGCTTTCCTGGGTCTCTGGCGATGTGTTTTTCCATTCAAGTTTTTGTTCATGGATTGCGAAGGCCTTACGGCCGGTGCCGCCGACCCTGAAGGGAAACGAGAACGACGACGACGACGACAACGGCGGCGGCGGCAACGACGACGACGCTGACGTGGGTCAGAATTCTGGGCCAGAATCCTCAGGGCTGGTTCTTGGGATCTCTTCGGAAGTCTCTCGAGGGCCTCTGGGTAGGAATATGTAGGAATTGTGGGGCCTCTTGGGAGACTCTTGGGGGCCTCTTGGGCCTCTTGGGCCGTCTTGGAGGCGTCTTGGGCCGTCTTGGGGCCCTCTTCGGCCATTAGGGGACCCTCTTGGGGGCGTTTTTGGCCGTCTCGGTGCGATCTTGGGGGCCTCTTGGGCCGTCTTGGCGCGTCGGGAAGCCGAAGAAGCAAGAACGCCAAAATTCGTCAAAACCATAAGGGAAATCCATGAATTTTGTCTCTTGGGGCTCCCGTGGGGAAGCTCCTGGAGGCCTCTTGGGGCGCTTTGCAGGCCTCATGCGCCGTCTGGAGGCCGTCAAGGCGTCTTGGACAGATCGTTCAGCGATTCGGGGTTCTCTTCGACAGTCTCTGGGGCCTACTGGGGCACACTTGACCCGTCTTGGGGCTTTTTTGGGCTCCGGGACTGCCTGGGGGGGGGGCATCTGACCCCCCCCCCCCCCCGGACCCCCCCCACCACCACCCCACCCACCCGGCGGGGGAGGGATCGAAGGGAAGGGGCTTCCCTTCGACTCAATTACGACGTTGCTCAACTTCGCTTTGGCTTGGCTGGCGCGCTGAGGGGGGTCCATCGCGGATCGAAGACATCTGCTCGGAGCTCCGAAAGTGTATGCTGATGTCATGCTTGTCCCTCGAGGAGGTCACGACATCGACCTCCTGCTTGTTTGAAGGTGCGGAGGGTGGAGAGTCAGGGGGAGCCGTCAGAAAGCGGAGCTGGTCGCGGGGCAAAGGTCCACAGGGGCCCACGTCGTGGAAAGGCACGACGTCGCAGGTCTGGGGGCAGTCCGCCCAGAAGCTTTCCTGGGGCGCTCCGGGTCTCGCCGTGAGCTCGGTTGAGGGAGTCTTGTATCTTTTGGCGCGTTCCCTGGGGCAAGCGTTTCCCCCCTGCTCCCCCCTTCCCCCCCTCCCCCCCTGACCCACTATTTCTGAACAACTCCACTTGACTCCACAACACCTCCTTCACACTACTACAAGTATAGTGGACTTGATGAGTACTCGTAGTTATCAATTCCACCGTAACCTTGAGTTGCTGCGCATTCGTGGGGGAGGGGGGGAGGGAGGAGGCAGGAGGGGGAGAGGAGACGAAGCTGGAGGAGGTGGGGGAGGAGGAAGGAGCGAGGGGGGCAGCAGGGGGGAATGGGGAATGAGGGAGGAGAGGGGGGACGAGGAAGGCCAGGGAGGATGGGAAAGGCGATGAGTAGAAGAAGAGCAGTTTGAGGAGAGGAGGGTTCGATGGGGAGGGATGGAGGAGGACGTGGCCGTGCAGCCCCGGAGCGGGGGAGGCGCTGCTGGGCCGGCTGCAGGGGCGCTGGTCCGCGGCGCGCCCGCCGCCCCGCCACGGGGTCATCGCTTGGCCTCATCGGCCTTTCGCCTCCTCCTCCTCCTCGTCCTCCTCCTCGTCCTCCTCCTCCTCGTCCTCCATATTTTCCTCCTCCTCTTCTCCGTCCCTCCTTGTCCTCCTCCATCTCTCCCTGCTGCTCCTTTTTGTCACACTCTCTTTCTGTTTATATACATACGTATATATATATAAATATAAATATATACATATATATACATATATATATATATATACACATACACATATACATAAACATAGACATATACATATACATATACATATACATATACATATACATATACATATCTATCTATATATAGATATGGATACATATATGTATGTATATTTCGAAAGCTGGGCGAGGGCTGCTAAAACCGTGGCTGCTAAAACGGCCCTCCGGGAAGGAAACAACAACTTCCCGGAATGAGGCGCGGCACGCGAAACAGTCAACGGGTTTCTTCCCGAAAGGACGAAGACAAATTCCCGGAGGTCGAATTTAGCAGCCACGGATTTAGCAGCCCTTGCCCAGCTTCCGAATATTCTTGCTGCTCCTTCTCCAGCTCTCCTCCCTCGTTTTTGTTCCTCCTTCACTCAGTCACCCTGCTGTGCCTCCATATAATCCTGCTGCTCCTCCTCCTCCCCTCCCTCTTTATCATCCTCCCTCACTCCCTCGTCCTCCTCCTCCGTCTCTTCCTGTTGCTCCCCCTCATCTCCTTCCTTCGTCCTCCTCCCTCCCTCTCTCCCTCGTCCTCTTCTTTCCTCTCCTTCCCAGTCTCGGCGCGAGGGTCTCTGGCTCAGGCGCAGCCAAGACACGAAATCCCCAGCATTCCATAGATTGCATGGCGAGACTGGGCATGTGGTCTGCACCGCAGGACTGATTCGCGCCACATCCTTGTATGCCGCGCGCGCCATGATTGCGAAAAGGTCCTCGCCGTACGTCCCCATACATCTCGACCTACACCTCGACAGCCCAAACCACCAGGCCAGGGCCGTGAAAGAGGCGACTCGCAAATCGGCACGGCACCTACCTCAGTCGGAAGTGGTTTTGCGTCGCCGCGCTCCCAAACAGTGGTGGTGTCGAATGAGCACCCGCTGCTTGCAACGCGCTCGCTCGAATACATTTACCTGATGCCGAAGTCAGTTGCCAACAGCATTGCTCTGACCAGAGAAGACTCAGGAGCGAACTGATGAGATGATGCGGGAAGATCAACAAAATCAGCTATACCATGCCCCACGTGCACAAACAGGCGTCAGACGTCAGACCGTGACCCCGCACCAACAGGGACCAGGGTCGGCGCAGAAACCCGCCAAGAAAACGGCATGGCCCCTTTGATCAGCCACGACGCACCAAATCAGGACGTCCTTGTCGCGCCTCCGCCTCACATGGCCGATCACGGGGACTCACGCACCAGTAGCACCACCAACACGTCCTCTGTCACCACGCCAGCACATACACAGTACCAGTTCGAGGGCAACGACGGTCAGAGGTTCAGAGAGTTTTGTCCTCCATCGGTCGCCGCCTTTTCGGCCACGCCGAATGCGATATGCTCAAGGGCGCACTCGAAGATCTCGCCCAGGAAGTGTTCGGCGGGTACGAACTTGGACAGGCTTGGGCCGTGCGCGAGCCAAACGGAATGACCGTGGGGAGCCGTGTGACTTTTTCGCCGCCGCCCGCCTTAGAGGCCTCCGCCCCGCCCCTCTTCGAACACGATTTGGGGTGCTCCGCCCAGGCCAATCGCGGGGCCGCAAGCACCAGCAGCACCCCGCCATTCGCCGCGCGCCAGAAGCCACCGGGCTACGACGAATATTGGGACGAATCACGGGAAGAATGGGGCGAGCCCTTGTTTGCTTGTTTTCTCCATCTAAGCGCCCGGGAGGTCGCCGACCTAACCTCGCGCGCCACGATCACCCCCAAACGCCCCGCCGAACGTCAAGAGCCATTTGGCTACGACAAAGACTCGGACACACATGCGGAAGCATGGCTGGAATGCCTACACCAACCTAGCGACCTGGAGATAAACGGCCTGAGCGCAGACCCGACGGGCGTCCTTTCAAATGCCAGTGCTGCGTTGCCCGTGCCAGGGCCGCAGTGCAAACCTCCGATGCCAGCGGGGGGCGCCGGAGATTGCGGCCCCGAGCGGGGGCCACGGGTTCCGCGGCTCCTTGCCTTCCAGTCACTTCGGAAGCGGTAACCGCCGCCAGCGGGGCTAGCGTTCATCCGCTGCAGCCACCGCCAAACCCGGCGGGAAAAAGCCCCAGGGCGGATCTCAGCGAGACACCAGGCGTGGCCACAGGCACCCGCAGCGCCGCGGCCCCCTAGGTCCACCAGGACCGATACGCTTTCCGACCGCGCAGGCCCCGGCCCGGCCCCCGCCTCTCCGTTCGCCCAGAAAAGGGGCCGAGGACGCGGCGGCCCGTCAGACTCTGAATCGAACTGACGGCCGAAATGGCGTCGTCGCAGAGCGCGCGGGGACCGGGGCCAGCGTCGAATTGGCCCGCTGACCATCGGCGACACCGCCGCCCTGTTCATGTCAGCTTTGACCGTCTGACCCCGCGCCCCCATCGTCTGTCGGATAGGGGCAATGCTGCGTCTGCGCCCGGGCCAGGCCAGCAGCGACGTCGGACTCGCCGACGGCGGATTTCGGGGCGGAGAGACCAGCGCGTCAGCGGAGCCGCCTAAACAAGCTCCGCAAACGCCGACGCGGGCGGCAAACCGTCGACGGGCCACTCCTTCCCGCCATCGGACTCCAGCGAGCCCCTGTGCGCGAGGACGGCTTTGGAACCCACTGCCCCTGTTCTGAGGCAGTGGCATAGATGGGGTTGCACAGGAGTGCTACACACTATGGGGGAAGTAGTAAATTCAGCATGGGTCGGGCTTGAAGCGCTTCGAAGAAAGCGCGCGCGCCTGACTCGCATGCGCATGGCTATATGCGGACAGAGAGGACAATCTGCCCCTCGTCGTCGCCCTCGCCCCTGTTCGGCCCCCCTCCTCCCCCCCCCCAGGATGGCGCCGAAAGCGTCCGCGGCTCGGGCGGGAGAGCGCCCCTGTCCACCTCCCCCATTATTCCTTGTTCCTCCATGCGCCCCCGCTCGCTGCTCGCCGCCCGTCGCCGCGCCTCGTCTTCCACCCTCGCTCGAAGAAGGGAAGTGCATCAGCGGGGGGCCGCCCCTTCGATGTCCGAGCACAGCGGTGCAACCAAACAGAGGGGATCCCCCACGCAAGCGTTCGGGGCGCAATCGAGTCGCGGACAGCACGGCCGCCATGCACAGCCGCATCGCCAACGTGTAAACGCATGGGCCCCCGCGGCAGGGCCCGCCCCCATGCCGGCGCAGCGGTCTGCGCGGCGACGCGCGGAGCTTTGGCTGTTAGGAGGTCAATGGCATGACGCCCCTCGTCTTCTCGGATTGCTGCGCGGCCATCTTCGGGGTCTTTCGGGGCCCTTCTGGGGCGTCTTCTGGCCGTTGGAGGCCGCTTCGGCGCCGCGTTTCGCTGTGGCCGCCCTGGGCTAGGGAAGTGCGCATTCGCCGCTCCCACGGGGGCGCGCTGGGAAGTGCGTATTTGCATTCTCCACCAGCTGGGCGCGTCGACCTCGGTTCTGGGCTGGCAAAGTCGGGGCGCCCTCGAGGTGGCGAGCGCTCGCCTTTTCGAAATGCACGGATCATGGTGTGATATGTGAGCGCAGCTGGCGTCTTGAAGTGTGCATTTTCGTGTGTGGGCCCACTGTTTACACAGATCGTCGTGTGATCTGTGTGCACAGATCTTGTTCCCATATGTGCATTTGGAGCGCGCCCTTCGCGGGGGGCGTTTACTGGGCGGGAACGTTCGCGCATCTCTCTCGGCCGGTCCAGGGGGGGCGTCGCGCGCGGTCAAAATGCGTAGTTCGCGTCTCCATCTGCGCATTTGCTGCGCGCCGCTCGCTGGAGCGAGCGGTCGCTAGACGGGGGTTCCTGCGGATCTCCCGGCCAGTCCAGGAGGGGGCCGTTGTTCGGGGGCGCAACGACGCGGGGGGCGAGGATGGCGGGCTACAGAAGGAAAGGTGCTCGCTCGGAGGGGTGGCGAAATGGCCGAGGATGAAAGGAACAGGAAGAGAGGGTGGGAAATGGGGCCAGGAGGAGTTGCATAACTGGCGCGAGCATCGCGAGGGCGAGGGGGGCGGGGGGGGGGGGGCAGAAGGATGGGGGATGATCTGAACTAGGGCGAAGAGGATGGAAGGAGGGCAGGCAAGTGGACGACGGGGGAACTCATCCGGAGGAGGATGACTACGAGGAACGACATGAACTGTCATATGGGACAGTGTGGATGGGGCGTGATGAGGACTGGGGGCAGTCGGAGGGGCATGGGGAGGCTGGGGCAAAAACGACGGGATGTCGGGGGGGGGCGGGGGATTGGGCGCGAGGATGAGGCGGGCGCCAGCTAGCGCTTAGCTGATCAGATCGGCTGCAGAACTTCGTTGTCCGGGCAGTGGTGTGCGGCGTGCTCCCAGGCCAAAGGCTCGAGTCCACGACGCCCCTCGGCGTCGCGCTGATGCCGCCCCGCTCTGCCTGCCAGACCGCGCATGCACAGATCGGCACAATGTGCGATTCAATGTTTGCCTCAGGATCGTCTTTATAATAACGGCCCCACGTTGGAACCCAAGAGCGGCTTGGGAAAGCGCCGACGACGCTCCGCGCAGCGAGGGCGAGGATCGCGCGGACGTGGCGCGTCTCCGCCTCGAACGTGGCCGGCTCTCCTCCGCGCAGGGGCGTCGGGGTCGCTTGTGGCGCGGGGGGCGCCGTGCTCGTCGCGGGGCGATCGGCGGTCTCAGCTTGCTTCGTTCCTTTCGCCCCATCAAAGCCACTGGGCCGCGCCAGAGCGCAACGGAAGACATCCCGACAAGGGCGAGCATGCGTCTCATCTGTCTCGCCCCCGGCGTCGCTGCCAGCTCGCCAGAGGTCGCGCCCGCGACTGCGACGACCAACGCAAGGAGCACAAATCCCAAGCGCGCCGCCTACGTCGCCAGGTTCCACGCCCCACCCTGCACGACGAAGTCGGCGACTATGAAGACGCGCAGGAGCCCGACGCGCGCGCCCACAGCGGGGCGCAATCATTCTGCGGAGCGCTGGCTCGAGCAGCGCACCCCCGACCGCCCCCGCGGGCGCCGGCCGCGCGCCGTGGAGCAGCGCGTCGCGACCGCCAGCTCGACCCTGGGCCCTAGCGTGGCGGAGCCGAGCGCCGCGACGAACAGCAGCACCGCGGGGCCCATCGCCGCGACGTTAAGCAGCGCGACGGGGTTCAGCACCCGCATCTTCACATCTGCGAGTGAGACCAGCAGCGGAACGAGCAGCGAGTCTTTAAGCTGCGCGTCCAGGGGCCAGCACCTCGACGCAATTCAACGCGACGCAGCCGATCGCCGCGACGCGGGGCAGCGCGACGGGGCCCGGAGGGGCGGCGTCGAGCACCGCGACGGAATCTAGCGCGACGGAGTCGAGCATCGCGACGTCACGATGACCAAATCTTTAAGCAGCACGTCTGGGACCAGCGCCGCGACGCTGAGCAGCGCGATGCAGTCGAGCACCACGACGTCAAGCAGTGCGACGGGGTCCAGCGCGATGGAGTCGGGCAGTTGCGGCGGGATCCAGCGCGACGGAACCGAGCATCGCGACGTTGACCGGCGCGATGGGATCTGGCTGCGGCAGCCTCGCATCGACGATGGAGACAAGCAGCGCGAAGAGCACCGTCGTCGAGTCGCACGTTCGCCACCAGCACCTCGGAATTGAGCAGCGCGACGGAGTCGATCGCCGGGTCGCTGAACAGCAGGGCGGGGTCAGCGCGGCGGATTCCAGCACCGCCAGCCTGAGCAGCGCGACGAGTTTGAGAACAAGCGGCCCCGCAGCTACGAGCGAGACGGGCAGCGCAACGAGCGCCGCGACTTTAAGCTGCGCGTCTGGAACCAGCATTTCTTCGCTGGTCAGCGCGACGGAGCCGAGCACCGGCGCCTTGAGCAACGCGACGGGACCCAAACCGACCAAGTCAATCGCCGCGTGGAGTCGAGCGCCGCGACGTCGAGCGGCGCGCCGGGATCCATTGCGGACAGTCGCGCGTCCACGAGTGAGATGGCCAGTGCCCGCGGCGCCGCGTCTTCGAGCAGCGCGCCTGGGGCCGACGCCTCGCTGCGGGACTGCCCGACGGGAGTCGAGATCCGCGACGATGCGCGGCGCGACGGGGCGCTGCGCAGGGGGGCGGGGCGCCGCGATGCTCGGCAGCGCGACGGGGTCGAGCGCCTCTGCGTCGAGCGGGGCGACCCGATCCAGCAGCGGCATCTGAATCTTCGCGCTCGCGAGCGAGGGCAGGATATCAACGATTACATAGGCCTTGGGCCGCGCCTCTGCGACCGGCGCCTCGACGCTGAGCAGCGCGACGGGACCTGGCAACGCGGCGCTGAACAGCGCGAGGGGGCGCGGCGCGCGCGAGCCCAGGACCGCGACGGTGGGGGGCGCGGCGGAGCCATGCACCACGACGTCGAACAATGCGACGGGGCTTTGCGCCAGCTGCCGCGCATCTTCGAGTGGGATGGGCAGTGCGAAGAACACTGCGTCTTCTGAGCAGCGTGTCCGGGGCCAGCACCTCCGCGCACGGCGGCGCGGTAGAGACGAGCGACGCGACATTAAGCCGCCTGGCGGGGCCCAGCGCGACGCTTGCAGGTTGGGAAGCGCGACGGAGCCCACCACCGCGGCGCTGATCAGCGCGACCGGATCCCCCACGAGCCGCGCAGCGAGTGAGACGAGTTGCGCGACGGGCGCCACATCTTTGAGCAGCACAAGTGGGGCCATCAACTCGACGGCGAGCAGCCTGGCGGGGTCGAGCGCCGCAACGTCGAGCAGCGCGAAGGGGCCCCGCGCGATGAATCCGA